AACCATAGTAACGTTATCTTTCGTGTGGACGAAGCGAGCCACGGTGGTCATATCGTCCAGAAGGGGCGCATTCTGCACCTGGGTGCAGAAGACAATGGCGGCAGCGACTTCGACCTCGAGCCCTGTAACCGACACTGAAGCGTCGACGTTGTCGGCGAGCACCCCCGCGATCGCCTGGACGGGGCCTTGGTGCGTCAGTTTCGACAGGATCGGAAAATCAAACCCGACGCGATCGGTGAGGAACGGACCGACTGCCGGCCACGCTTTGGGTACCCCCTTGAAGATTTTGTTCTCTTTAGACACTAGTGCTGACGCCGTCGACAGCACTTCCACGTACAACTTGAACGAGTCGATGGGAGGCAACGACGACAAAGTGGGGGTGGAGGACGTGATGTCCCCGGCGAACTTGCCACAGGTACATCCGTCGCCCAGCACGGCCGCCGTGGCTTCGTAACACGGCACTTCTAGCGCGAGCCCCAGCGCGTCCTACACATTATCCGGATGTCTATTTTTAGATTTTCTCGAAAGGCAAACCATGGCTTTGTTGAGGTGGTAAATACTCGCGCGACCCACTCAACGTCGGCTGGGGACAAGTGAGCCTTGAGGGCCGCCACTTGGCCCTTTGTCAGTGTGCTTGGAACATGCCCGAGCGACCGCGCTGCCGACATAATCGCAGCCTCCGCCGGAGTCAGACTGCGGGCTCGGCATTGTTTTCGTACGCCTTGACCGCGAGTTTGGACGCCTACTCCCCACAACGCATTCGAATTGCCAATCACAGTTAAAAACGTCGGAACAGGAAATGGCGATGCGCAACGGAGTACCACACTCAACATTGAGTCGTAAAGTACGGTAGTGTTTTAGGCTGGACTTGACACTGGAGTTACTCTAGACAAAACTCGTGTCGGTCATGTTAACTATATACTATTAATACTACTAGTAGTACTATTAATTCACAACCTAGAACGTCGAAACCCCGAACTTTTTGTGATCTTTTGAAACCCCACATGACTGTCATAGTTCGACAACTGTACCGTACAGTATCAACTCTCCAACCAACTCTCGTCATGGCAATACCTTCTCCAGTCGTTCGTGTGTGGCTAGCCATTGCATTCTTGGTGGTCGTAAACGTCGTCTTGCCGCTTGTGGTGTACTCCATCTTGGCCCAATACATGTCAGAGTCCCTTGCGTTAGTCGTGTCAAGCATCCCACCCACTTTGTACACACTTGGCAAGATCATGCAGGAGCGTGTGTGCGATGCCATTTCGACGCTGTCTGTGGCGTCCATCTTGTTGTCCGCCGTCATTTGCGACCTCACTGACGACGCGCGGCTGCTGTTGGTCAAAGACTCTGTGTTCACCGTCGGTTTTGGCATCACGTACTGGGCATCGCTATGCTCCAGCGAAGATTTGCTGTGGTCGTACCAGCGCCGCTTCCGCGGGACGGCCGACACCGCTGAACTCCGAGCAAAGTACGCACAGACGCACATTCGATCGGTGTCCAGGTTCATGTGCAAAGTGTGGGGCTCGGCACTCATCGTCGAAGCAGGCGTCCGCCTCGCGCTCATCTATATTATTCCGGTGCAAGTGATGCCGTATGTAAGCACGGGACTCATGGTCGTCATGTTCGTGTCGTTATTCACGTGGACGTCATGGTACCGACGGACACATCACCAGTCGGCCGTGGGGGCCGTTGTGGATGAGACTGGAGCGAATGAACCATTGCTGCTGTAGAGGGAACTCTGGCGAAAAAAATACTTCAACATCAAGCAAGAGGGTCAGCATATCATACTACACGCAAAGTTTGAAATTACTGCGTACAACCTACTACTAGGACTACTACGTAGTAGTGTTATTAATAACAGTATGCATACTACACCTTTTTGCAGTTAAGTTGGACGAATGCCCGATATATTTGGTCGTGTGCCCGATATATTTGGCGGTGTGCCCGATATAATTAGCCGTGCGCCCAAGTAATTGGCCATCTGCCCGATGAATTGTGGCATGTGCCCGATGAAACCTTGGGGTAAATCGAAAAATGAGCTCTGCGCGCGACAGCTCATTTTTCGATTTACCTCAAGGTTAGCACCCACGACGGACGTGCGGAGGCCATGGGCAACATGGGCGTTGGTATATGACGTCACAGCAACGATGCTGCAAGTGTTGTTTAACGACTACTACGTATTTCTATATTGAATTGACTTTTTATTGCGTGATTTCCATTTTCATCGGGCACACGACACAATTCATCGGGCACATGGGCAATTGGTTGGGCACACGGCCAATTATATCGGGCACACCGCCAAATATATCGGGCACACGACTCCGGGTGCCAATTTTATCGGGCACATGGCCAACTATATCGGGCACACGACCAAATATATCGGGCACACGACCAAATATATCGGGCACACGACCAAATATATCGGGCATTCGTCTAACTTAACTGCAAAATGGTGCAAGGTAATCCATCAATATCGCAAACGCGTTTTGTGCACTAAAATGTCAAATGTTTGAAGCACTCCACCACAAGAATTCCCTCGAATAAAAAAAACTAAAGGTAGCGTTGGAAAATATAAATCCAGCTGCATTTTTTAGTGCCAAGAAGTGCCTGAAATATCCCAATAATCGATTTGTATTTTGAAATTATGACGTAACGTTAAGAATTGGTGAAACCTTTGTATTTCGCGAACGGTCCTAATATCTTAGTTTTGTATGTATGGAATATTAATTTACAAAATAATACCTGGGTGTCGTGACGCGTTTTAATTTATACATGAACTCAATTCTACATTAAATTTGAACGCATTATAATAAGAAACAAGTTGGAATTTGTATTGGAAAACATAAAAATGGACATAGTTTTGAACTTCAAGGTGGTGTCCTGATCCTTTGGATGAATAATGCGAATGGTCCGACCACTCTTGATAATTGTATTGGTAATTTTAGCCAATCAAAATAATGTTTGCGACTGGTTAGCCAATAATTTTGCAACGAATAATTTTCTGCCCAATAGCATATAGAAGGGTTAGGGTAGAGCTTTGGTGGTGGTCCGCTATGCGCGTGTGGTCGGACCTTTTGAAAGTTATGCGTTATGAGCATACACAAGACAAGTGAATCGCACAACATAAAAATAACCCTGCAACGTCCGACCGTCCGACCAAGTGAGACAAGGATGGACCGCTTGCGGCCTCAGTCAACCGTAAATGCGAGAGCGGCCGGCATCAAAGCGTTTTACAAGTTCCTGTCATCCGAGAGTATGGATCCGGACTACGTCAAATCGTGCATAAGGAAGGACCTAACAGGACAATGCTTTGCCGCTGTAATGGAGAAGTTTGCTTTGTACCTCGCTGCGTGCGAGAAATCACCTGGAATAAAGTTGTCCAAGAACTCCTGCATGCAGTACTTTCGACAAGCGAAGATGACGCTTCTTGACGAGTTTCCGCAACTGCAGGCCCTCGTGGACTCAAAACTACTACGTACTGGCAAGATCTTGCAAAACTACTGCGCGAAGAAGGATGGCGGAGCGGTAGTGAACCAAGCTATAGCCTGCACCAAACAGTACTTGAAGCTTATGCTGATGTATTTGTACTCGACCGCCACTTGCAGCAGTGACTACCAAGACGCCGCCTTGTTGTCCCTCTTGTGGTATCTTTATGGCCGCGCGTCTGACTTGGCCATGGCCCGCAAGCACAACGTGTCGATTGATGCTGGTGGGGCGTTCTTCCTACGATTTGTTCGAGTCACCAGCGAGGAACAAGGATATCCCTGTACCCGGACACTGATTTCTCGACTTGTCCCTTGCTTGCAATCTTGCTGGCGACCGTTGCGCAGAACGGACCTTGTGCCAACATCGTCGACAACTTGCCTAGTCAAGCAAGCTCAGTCAAACATGAGCTCGAACCAACCACACCATTGCTGGACGTCTTGGACAACCCAAGTGCCATCAACGTTGACGATAAGGCCCAAGCTTTGAAGAGCGTACCTACCATACACAGTCATGTCAATCGTATCCTTGGACGTATTTCGGCGGCGGCGGGTGTGGCCATATCGTCTCACTCGTTTCGACGCGGGGGTACACAACACGCGAACTAATCGGAGCAATTAACGGCACGGTGTATCTTCGATCGCGGGGCGTGGAACATCTCGGCCACCAACAAAGGTTTTAACTACATTTTCAACACGTCAAGTGAATACCACAAAGTCGCCAAGTACCTCAGCGGGTGGAGCACAATGGAGCCTGTAATGGTTCTTACCCTCGACTCATTCGACGCCCACACGCAAGGCATGGTTCGCAAAGTTCAAGCCAATCTGTTCGTTGCTTCCCGAGGCCTTGCAATCTCTACGTGCAACTTGAACACGCCCGTTATCGATATGTTGACAGCTTACCTTCTGCTCAACTACCCGAGTTTGAAGAAGCTCAACGCGCAGGCCCTCCCTGTTCTTCGGCTGGAAGCATGCGCTGGACTTGCTGGCTGCAGCGAGATGGATCTTCTGGCTTGGTCCACACGTCTGATGGCAGGACCGCCGACGCCGACAGCATTAGAGCCACTTGAACAAAACGCGAGACCCATACCTGAGACTGCCGAGCAAAGACTCATTCGCCACCAAGCCACCCTCCTTGACCAATTCATGCAAGCTCGACGGCGTCAAGAGGAGCGGCTCCAAGCTCTAGAGGCAAAGGTGAATGGCCATTCGGTTAAGTAGCCGCGAGTTCTCGAGAACGGAAATGGCGAGCCTACCGTGAAGCGGCAACGACAGGCGTCTGCCACGGCGTTACGAACAACGTGGTTCGAATGGTATGGTGGCGAACCAAGGCTCTACGCAAATGCTGACGCGTCAAAGCAGAAGCGATACAATGCGCGGCACCTAGTTGCGTATATGAAGCTTTTCTTGCCGAAGGGATTCGTAATGGAAGAAGGGAGTTCAACGTACCTCGACGACGTTGTCTCGATCGGCTCCGCGGCTGAGTCGGCGCTGTTGGCCTTTCTTCGCGAACAAGGCTGTCGTTCGACTGGCTCAAGCGCCGTCCTAAAGGTGCTGCAAAAGTTACATCGGGACGGCGCGTTGAAGTCCAGAATCG